ACAGGCTTAAGATTTTTACTTACTGCCTCCTGTTTCCTTGCAGCCCCTAAAAGCCTGCTTTCTTATTATTATTTTCTTTAAGCCTAAAGTATTTACTTACTTCAGGTTTTTCATGTAATGTATCTCTTTGTTAAACATAATACCTCAAATGGATTTATTAGAGTATAAGTTGTAGAAGTTATTTTAGCACAAATCCTTAAGGGGATTTTTAGGGATGGGATAATAAACTGCAAAAATCCCTTAAGAAAATTATTTACTGTTACTTTCGTTATAATACTCTCTATATATTTATTGTGTTTTTATTTTTCTATTTGTTATTTGCTGAACGTGTTTTAGTAGTACATTAACAACATAAATGTAGTGTATTTTTAAACTGTTTATACAACATTATTTTAAAGCATATTCTAAGGCAGTTGCTGTATAATAAAACATGTGTTTTGTTCGTTGTATTTAAAAGGAAAATTTGCTTTGTTAAAATATGTATTTGTATGGGCCTGTAAATGTATTTTTTTTGTATTTTTGCCAAATTCATGTATTGTTTCGTTAGTTGTTTTCTTATTTGAGATTTTGTGTAAAAGTAACAGCTGTTGGTGGTTGGATAACAATAGGTAGAATAATACACAAAAACGATAAATAAGTGTATTTTGGTGCCGGAAAGCTACACCATTTCATTTCTAGTTCTGATCTAGTTTTGATCTAGTTCTGTTCTAGTTCTGTTCTAGTTCTGTTCTAGTACTGCTCTAGTTCTGTTCTAGTTCTGTTCTAGTTCTGTTCTAGTTCTGTTCTAGTTCTGTTCTAGTTCTAGTTATGTTCTAGTTCTGTTCTAGTTATGTTCTAGTTCTGTTCTAGTTCTGTTCTAGTTCTGTTCTAGTTCTGTTCTAGTTCTGTTCTAGTTCTGTTCTAGTTCTGTTCTAGTTCTGTTCTAGTTCTGTTCTAGTTCTGTTCTAGTTCTGTTCTAGTTCTGTTCTAGTTCAGTTCTAGTTCTGTTCTAGTTCTGTTCTAGTTCTGTTCTAGTTCTGTTCTAGTTCTGTTCTAGTTCTGTTCTGTTCTAGTTCTGTTCTAGCTCTGTTTTAGTTGTCTTCTAGTTGTGTTCTAGTTGTGTTCTAGTTGTGTTCTAGTTGTATTCTAGTTGTGTTCTAGTTGTATTCTAGTTGTGTTCTAGTTGTATTTTAGTTGTGTTTTAGTTGTGTTTTGTTGTGTTCTTGTTGTGTTCTAGTTGTGTTTTAGTTGTGTTCTAGTTGTGTTCTAGTTGTGTTCTAGTTGTGTTCTAGTTCTGTTCTAGTTCTGTTCTAGTTCTGTTCTAGTTCTGTTCTAGTTCTGTTCTAGTTCTGTTCTAGTTCTGTTCTAGTTCTGTTCTGGTTGTGTTCTGGTTGTGTTCTAGTCGTGTTCTAGTTCTGTTCTAGTTCTGTTCTAGTTCTGTTCTAGTTCTGTTCCAGTTCTGTTCTAGTTCTGTTCTAGTTCTGTTCTAGTTCTGTTCTAGTTCTGTTCTAGTTCTGTTCTAGTTCTAGTTCTGTTCTAGTTCTGTTCTAGTTCTGTTCTAGTTCTGTTCTAGTTCTGTTCTGTTGTTCTGTTCCGTTCTAGTTCTTGTTCTGTTTTGTTCTAGTTCTGTTCTAGGTCTGTTCTAGTTCTGTTCTAGTTCTGTTCTAGTTCTGTTCTAGTTCTGTTCCAGTTCTGTTCTAGTTCTGTTCCAGTTCTGCTCTAGTTCTGTTCCAGTTCTGCTCTAGTTCTGCTCTAGTTCTGCTCTAGTTTCTGCTCTAGTTTCTGTTCTAGTACAGTTCTAGTTCTGTTCTAGTTCTGTTCTAGTTCTGTTCTAGTTCTGTTCTAGTTCTGTTCTAGTTCTGTTCTAGTTCTGTTCTAGTTCTGTTCTAGTTCTGTTCTAGTTCTGTTCTAGTTCTGTTCTAGTTCTGTTTCTAGTTCTGTTTCTAGTTCTGTTCTAGTTCTGTTCTAGTTCTGTTCTAGTTCTGTTCTAGTTCTGTTCTAGTTCTGTTCTAGTTCTGTTCTAGTTCTGTTCTAGTTCTGTTCTAGTTCTGGTCTAGTTCTGTTCTAGTTCTGTTCTAGTTCTGTTCTGTTCTAGTTCTGTTCTAGTTCTAGCTCTGTTTTAGTTGTCTTCTAGTTGTGTTCTAGTTGTGTTCTAGTTGTGTTCTAGTTGTATTCTAGTTGTGTTCTAGTTGTATTCTAGTTGTGTTTTCTAGTTGTATTTAGTTGTGTTTTAGTTGTGTTTTGTTGTGTTCTTGTTGTGTTCTAGTTGTGTTTTAGTTGTGTTCTAGTTGTGTTCTAGTTGTGTTCTAGTTCTGTTCTAGTTCTGTTCTAGTTCTGTTCTAGTTCTGTTCTAGTTCTGTTCCAGTTCTGTTCTAGTTCTGTTCTAGTTCTGTTCTAGTTCTGTTCTAGTTCTGTTCTAGTTCTGTTCTAGTTCTGTTCTAGTTTCTAGTTCTGTTCTAGTTCTGTTCTAGTTCTGTTCTAGTTCTGTTCTAGTTCTGTTCTGTTGTTCTGTTCCGTTCTTGTTCTGTTTTGTTCTAGTTCTGTTCTAGGTCTGTTCTAGTTCTGTTCTAGTTCTGTTCTAGTTCTGTTCTAGTTCTGTTCTAGTTCTGTTCCAGTTCTGGTTCTAGTTCTGTTCCAGTTCTGCTCTAGTTCTGTTTCCAGTTCTGCTCTAGTTCTGCTCTAGTTCTGCTCTAGTTCTGTTCTAGTTCTGTTCTAGTTCTGTTCTAGTTCTGTTCTAGTTCTGTTCTAGTTCTGTTCTAGTTCTGTTCTAGTTCTGTTCTAGTTCTGTTCTAGTTCTGTTCTAGTTCTGTTCTAGTTCTGTTCTAGTTCTGTTCTAGTTCTGTTCTAGTTCTGTTCTAGTTCTGTTCTAGTTCTGTTCTAGTTCTGTTCTAGTTCTGTTCTAGTTCTGTTCTAGTTCTGTTCTAGTTCTGTTCTAGTTCTGTTCTAGTTCTGTTCTAGTTCTGTTCTGTTCTAGTTCTGTTCTAGTTCTGTTCTAGTTCTGTTCTGTTCTAGTTCTGTTCTAGTTCTGTTCTAGTTCTGTTCTAGTTCTGTGTTCTAGTTCTGTTCTAGTTCTGTTCTAGTTCTGTTCTAGTTCTGTTCTAGTTCTGTTCTAGTTCTGTTCTAGTTCTGTTCTAGTTCTGTTCTAGTTCTGTTCTAGTTCTGTTCTAGTTCTGTTCTAGTTCTGTTCTAGTTCTGTTCTGTTCTAGTTCTGTTCTAGTTCTGTTCTAGTTCTGTTCTAGTTCTGTTCTGTTCTAGTTCTGTTCTAACTCTGTTTTAGTTGTCTTCTAGTTGTGTTCTAGTTGTGTTCTAGTTGTGTTCTAGTTGTATTCTAGTTGTGTTCTAGTTGTATTCTAGTTGTGTTCTAGTTGTATTTTAGTTGTGTTTTAGTTGTGTTTTTGTTGTGTTCTTGTTGTGTTCTAGTTGTGTTTTAGTTGTGTTCTAGTTGTGTTCTAGTTGTGTTCTAGTTGTGATCTAGTTCTGTTCTAGTTCTGTTCTAGTTCTGTTCTAGTTCTGTTCTAGTTCTGTTCTAGTTCTGTTCTAGTTCTGTTCTAGTTCTGTTCTGGTTGTGTTCTAGTCGTGTTCTAGTTCTGTTCTAGTTCTGTTCTAGTTCTGTTCTAGTTCTGTTCTAGTTCTGTTCTAGTTCTGTTCTAGTTCTGTTCTAGTTCTGTTCTAGTTCTGTTCTAGTTCTGTTCTAGTTCTGTTCTAGTTCTGTTGCTAGTTCTAGTTCTAGTTCTGTTCTAGTTCTGTTCTAGTTCTGTTCTAGTTCTGTTCTGTTGTGCTGTTTCGTTCTAGTTCTTGTTCTGTTTTGTTCTAGTTCTGTTCTAGGTCTGTTCTAGTTCTGTTCTATTCTGTTCTAGTTCTGTTCCAGTTCTGTTCTAGTTCTGTTCCAGTTCTGCCTCTAGTTCTGTTCCAGTTCTGCTCTAGTTCTGCTCTAGTTCTGTTCTAGTACAGTTCTAGTTCGGTGCTAGTTTCTGTTCTAGTTCTGTTCTAGTTCTGTTCTAGTTCTGTTTAGTTCTGTTCTAGTTCTGTTCTAGTTCTGTTCTAGTTCTGTTCTAGTTCTGTTCTAGTTCTGTTCTAGTTTCTGTTCTGTTCTAGTTCTGTTCTAGTTATGTTCTAGTTCTGTTCTAGTTCTGTTATAGTTCTGTTCTAGTTCTGTTCTGTTCTTTCTAGTTCTGTTCTAGTTCTGTTCTAGTTCTGTTCTAGTTCTGTTCTAGTTCTGTTCTAGTTCTGTTCTAGTCTGTTCTAGTTCTGTTCTAGTTCTGTTCTAGTTCTGTTCTAGTTCTGTTCTAGTTCTGTTCTAGTTCTGTTCTAGTTCTGTTCTAGTTCTGTTCTAGTTCTGTTCTAGTTCTGTTCTAGTTTCTGTTCTAGTTCTGTTCTAGTTCTGTTCTAGTTCTGTTCTAGTTCTGTTCTAGTTCTGTTCTAGTTCTGTTCTAGTTCTGTTTTAGTTCTGTTCTAGTTCTGTTCTAGTACTATTCTACTTCTGCTCTATTTCTGCTCTATTTCTGTTTTAGTTCTGTTCTACTTCTGTTGTAGTTCCTTCTAGTTCTGTTCTAGTTCTAGTTTATTTCCTTATGGAAACAGTGTATTTTACTCATAGAAATCAGGTTTTTGTGTTAAAAGTAGCTTCTGCTATTGAATATTAAACTAGATTAAATATTCTTTGTATTTATTTGCCGATTTGTTAACAAAATGTATTCAAAAAGCAAACCTATTCAATATTTAACAGATTTAGCAATATGACTCCTAAAAGTAGGCAATAAGTTTTAATATCTTTTTCAAAAAGATAATAGCACAAAGAGGGTTAAAGAGAGATTAATATAAATTTATTTAAATTTATTAGGGATTTAAGTCAAATGTCCCGACTGTTTATCCGTGCTACAGAAAAGATAATTTGATGAAAAATGTTTGACTTAAATATAAATTTATTTTTATATAACTATTAAACAAAATAATACACATATTACTTAATTGTTCAAGAAAAAAAAAAGTAAAATATTTACAAAGGATATTTTAAAACTAAAATAAACTTAATTATATAAAGGCAAGAATATAAAATCATTTGGTTAAATCCGATAATCTTAAAACTAAACCACCTCTAACCTTTATTTAAAGTACTACAACTTAAATGCTACTAAATTATTATAAAAAACAGTCACTAGAATTTCAAAAAAGTATAATATTCTATTTACAAACAAACTACAAACTTTTTCTATTTACGAAAAATGATCTTAAGCAACCGTATAACCGGTGCCTCAAATACCACCGATATGAAAAAGGCCACTATGAAAGAGACCACCGCATTTCCCAGAAATATAATCAATATAAAAACATTACTCAGATGAATTGTGCCATCCATGCGATAGGCTGTGATTAGCATTATAACGGGATGTATTAAATAGGTACAATAGGTAAGACGTGATAAGGGCCATAGGCAGCGGTAGGATAGTATGCGATTCATGGTGGGCGAAAGATTCCAACAGCAGGATAAGACCACCCAAATTAAACCGAAGCCAAAGGCTAAAATTAAGAAACTTTTCTTAGAGAACATTTTACACAAAAAAATACCTTCCTTACCTGTATGACCTATGCTCACATAAAACGCTGTGGTCACCTCATTAAGTTCCCCCTGCCACACCCCAAATATTATCACTATAATCAAGCCCAAACTCAAAACCCACAGTAAATTATTTACCCGTTGCGATATTTTAGGGGGAGAGCGTACTTTGAATATTATATAACCAGCCAACATGCCTGTAAAGAAAAATTTTTATTAAATATATTTTTTATAATTTTTACTTCTCTAACTGACCCATTATATAGGGACCCACTCTTTGCCATGGTTTGTCATAGAGGAAATCAAATGATTCAAAGGGTTTCGCCACTTTGTGTGTATAGTGATAACGTAGAGATATTAATCCGGATACTCCCCAGGAAGAAACCAGAAAAGTGCAAATAGTAAGGACCATGGTTTTGAAATATCTAGGAAAAAAATTTATCAAAAAACTATTAGTTGATCTTTTGACCCGATCTGTAGTAGACATAATATTCAGAACTAGAATAGAACTAGACACAGAACTAGAACAAAACTAGAACAAAACTAGAACAGAACTAGAACAGAACTAGAACAGAACTAGAACAGAACTAGAACAGAACTAGAACAGAACTAGAACAGAACTAGAACAGAACTAGAACAGAACTAGAACGGAACTAAACTGAACTAGAACAGAACTAGAACAGAACTAGAACAGAACTAGAACAGAACTAGAACAGAACTAGAACAGAACTAGAACAGAACTAGAACAGAACTAGAACAGAACTAGAACAGAACTAGAACAGAACTAGAACAGAACTAGAACAGAACTAGAACAGAACTAGAACAGAACTAGAACAGAACTAGAACAGAACTAGAACAGAACTAGAACAGAACTAGAACAGAACTAGAACAGAACTAGAACAGAACTAGAACAGAACTAGAACAGAACTAGAACAGAACTAGAACAGAACTAGAACAGAACTAGAACAGAACTAGAACAGACTAGAACAGAACTAGAACAGAACTAGAAACAGAACTAGAACAGAACTAGAACAGAACAAGAACAGAACTAGAACAGAACTGGAACAGAACTAGAACTGAGCTAGAACTGAACTAAAACTGAACTAAAACTGAACTAAAACTGAACTAAAACTGAACTAAAACTGAACTAAAACTGAACTAAAACTGAACTAGAACAGAACTAGAACAGAATAGAACAGAACTAGAATAGAACTAGAATAGAACTAGAACAGAACTAGAACAGAACTAGAACAGAACTAGAACAGAACTAGAACAGAACTAGAACAGAACTAGAACAGAACTAGAACAGAACTAGAACAGAACTAGAACAGAACTAGAACAGAACTAGAACAGAACTAGAGCAGAACAGAACTAGAACAGAACTAGAACAGAACTAGAACAGAACTAGAATAGAACTAGAACAGAACAACAGAACAGAACTAGAACAGAACTAGAACAGAACTAGAACAGAACTAGAACAGAACTAGAACAGAACTAGAACAGAACTAGAACAGAACTAGAACAGAACTAGAACAGAACTAGAACAGAACTAGAACAGAACTAGAACAGAACTAGAACAGAACTAGAACAGAACTAGAACAGAACTAGAACTAGAACAGAACTAGAACTAGAACAGAACTAGAACAGAACTAGAACAGAACTAGAACAGAACTAGAACAGAACTAGAACAGAACTAGAACAGAACTAGAACAGAACTAGAACAGAACTAGAACAGAACTAGAACAGAACTAGAACAGAACTAGAACAGAACTAGGACTGAGCTAGAACTGAAATAGAACTGAACTATTACTGAACTATAACTGAACTAGAACAGAACTAGAACAGAACTAGAACAGAACTAGAACAGAACTAGAACAGAACTAGAACAGAACTAGAACAGAACTAGAACAGAACTAGAACAGAACTAGAACAGAACTAGAACAGAACTAGAACAGAACTATAACAGAACTAGAACAGAACTAGAACAGAACTAGAACAGAACTAGAACAGAACTAGAGCAGAACTAGAGCAGAACAGAACTAGAGCAGAACAGAACTAGAACAGAACTAGAACAGAACTAGAATAGAACTAGAACAGAACAGAACAGAACTAGAACAGAACTAGAACAGAACTAGAACAGAACTAGAACAGAACTAGAACAGAACTAGAACAGAACTAGAACAGAACTAGAACAGAAACTAGAACAGAACTAGAACAGAACTAGAACAGAACTAGACCAGAACTAGAACAGAACTAGAACTAGAACTAGAACAGAACTAGAACAGAACTAGAACTAGAACTAGAACTAGAACTAGAACAGAACTAGAAACTAGACTAGAACAGAACTAGAACAGAACTAGAACTGAGCTAGAACCTAGAAATAGAACATGAACTATTAACTGAACTAGAACATGAACTAGAACAGAACTAGAACAGAACTAGAACAGAACTAGAACAGAACTAGAACAGAACTAGAACAGAACTAGAACAGAACTAGAACAGAACTAGAACAGAACTAGAACAGAACTAGAACAGAACTAGAACAGAACTAGAACAGAACTAGAACAGAACTAGAACAGAACTAGAACAGAACTAGAACAGAACTAGAACAGAACTAGAACAGAACTAGAACAGAACTAGAACAGAACTAGAACGAACTAGAACAGAACTAGAACAGAACTAGAACAGAACTAGAACAGAACTAGAACAGAACTAGAACAGAACTAGAACAGAACTAGAACAGAACTAGAACAGAACTGAACAGAAATAGAACAGAACTAGAGCTAGAGCTAGCATTCTACTAAGAATTTATTCAATAAAATTGTCAGTTAAGTCCTTTCTCAAAAACCTTATTAAATTCTATATTCTTTTGGAAAATTTTTCAATTATTTTCATCTTCGAGCTCTTACCTAGCTGACAGTATCAATAACAAGGTAGCCATTATATAGAATTGCATATCATTAGCCATGTACCAGCTCCATATCATACAGATTTCAGTTAATGGATAAAAATTATTTATATACAATATGTTGCGCCACCAATATTTGCTGCAGGTGTTGGTAGAACAGTGGGCTGGAAGACCGAACCATCGAAAGTTTGTCTAAGGAATAAATTAAGAAAATAGGACATTATTTCCTAAAGAATTGGAATAAGGTTATGATGCTTGGCAATGAAATTTTTTCAAATATTTCATATATTTTTTGTTATTTTGAACCACTGTCCGTTTTAAACAAACATCATCATGAATACATTTCATTTTCAATTTTATGCTTTTTGGCGGCATACTCACCTTAAGGCAAAATCATTGAAAAATATCACAAACAAATAAGCGGGCGTTAAACGTATGTATCGGTACACCACCAATATGACGGTATCGACAAAGCCTTTTTTCATATATTTGGTTGAATCCTCGGCATCCTTTTTCATGCTCTTCAAATATAATAATGTTACCAAAAAACCACTTATAAAGAAAAATGTATCAACGGAAAATGTGGCATTGCCAACAATTTGATACCAAGGTGAACGTTCGACCATGATGCGTCTGAACTATGAATACGAATTGAAATAGAAATAGAAATTATAAAAATAGTTAAATATTTGTGATGTCAAAGCCAGATAGTTAGAATCAAAATAAAATTGAACAAAAATAGAAATCCTTTGCGTACAAGGTCATTTTATGTTTATTTTGTGTATAAGGAAATGTTGTTGTGTTTTACCGGAAACGGAAATCTATTTCTGTTCTTAGAAAATACAATTTATTATCGTTTTTTTTTTTTTTTTTTGTCTATTTACTCGATTTTCTCCAATATTAAACATTTGCAAGTATGTGTGCACCATTATGGTCCATAAAACGGAGATGACGCGTAAACCATGAACACAGGATGTTTGTGTCTGTAACAGAGAGAGAGAGAGAGAGCGAGAGAGAAGGATGAAAAGAATAATTGTTTCGAAGAAAAGATAATTGATAAAAGTTTTATCAATTATTTTTTTTATCATAAAACACATACATACGTTTATTTTTTAAATAAATTAAATGAAGATACTATATATACATATCTATAGCCTATTCTATAGATTAGTCTGTAGACTGATCTGTAAATTAGTTTATATACTAGTCTATAGACTGATCTATTGACTAGTCAATATACTGTTTTATCGACTAGTCTAAAGACTAATCTATAAACCGGACTAAAGACTGATCTATAGACTAGTGTAAAGACTGTTCTATAGATTGATCATAAACTGGGGTATAGATTGATCTATGAATTAGTCTATAGACGGATCTATAGACTGATCTATAGATTGGTCTATAGACTGATCTATAGACTGGTCTATAGACTGATCTATAGACTGGTCTATAGACTGATCTATAGACTGGTCTATAGACTGATCTATATACTGGTCTATAGACTGATCTATAGAATGGTCTGTAGAATGATCTATAGACTAGTCTATAGAATGATCTATAGGCTAGTGTATAGACTGATCTATAGACCGATCTATAGACTAGTCTATAGACTGATCTATAGATTAGTACATAGACTGATCTATAAACCGGACTAAAGACTAATTTATAGACTAGTGTAAAGGCTGTTCTATAGATTGATCTATATACTGGTCTATAGATATTAGTCTATAGATTGATCTATAGATGATCTATAGATTGATCTATAGACTGATCTATAGATTGGTCTAATAGACTTAGAGGTATATAGACTGATCTATAGACTGGTCTATAGACTGGTCTATAGACTGATCTATAGACTGGTCTATAGACTGATCTATATACTGGTCTATAGACTGATCTATAGAATGGTCTATAGAATGATCTATAGACTAGTCTATAGAATGATCTATAGGCTAGTGTATAGACTGATCTATAGACCGATCTATAGACTAGTCTATAGACTGATCTATAGATTAGTACATAGACTGATCTATAAACCGGACTAAAGACTGATCTATAGACTAGTGTAAAGACTGTTCTATAGATTGATCTATAAACTGGGGTATAGATTGATCTATGAATTAGTCTATAGACGGATCTATAGACTGATCTATAGATTGGTCTATAGACTGATCTATATACTGGTCTATAGACTGATCTATAGAATGGTCTATAGGCTGATCTATAGAATAGTCTATAGAATGATCTATAGACTAGTCTATAGAATGATCTATAGGCTAGTGTATAGACTGATCTATAGACCGATCTATAGACTAGTCTATAGACTGATCTATAGATTAGTACATAGACTGATCTATAAACCGGACTAAAGACTAATTTATAGACTAGTGTAAAGGCTGTTCTATAGATTGATCTATATACTGGTCTATAGATATTAGTCTATAGATTGATCTATAGACTGATCTATAGATTGATCTATAGACTGATCTATAGATTGATCTATAGACTGATCTATAGATTGGTCTATAGACTGATCTATAGACTGATCTATAGACTGGTCTATAGACTGGTCTATAGACTGATCTATAGACTGACCTATAGACTGGTCTATAGACTGATCTATAGACTAGTCTATAGAATGATCTATAGACTAGTGTATAGAATGATCTGTAGACTAGTCTATAGAATGATCAAGAGGCTAGTGTATAGACTGATCTATAGACAGATCTATAGACTAGTCTATAGACTGATCTATAGATTAGTACATAGACTGATCTATAAACCGGACTAAAGACTAATTTATAGACTAGTGTTAAGACTGTTCTATAGATTGATCTATAACTGGGGTATATATTGATCTATAAATCAGTCTACAGATTGATCTATAGACGGATCTATAGACCGATCTATAGACTGGTCTATAGACTGATCTATAGACTGGTCTATAGTCTGGTCTATAGACTGATCTATAGACTGACCTATAGACTGGTCTATAGACTGATCTATAGACTAGTCTATAGAATGATCTATAGACTAGTGTATAGAGTGATCTATAGACTAGTCTATAGAATGATCTAGAGGCTAGTGTATAGACTGATCTATAGACTAGTCTATAGACTGATCTATAGATTAGTACATAGACTGATCTATAAACCAGACTAAATACTAATTTATAGACTAGTGTAAAGACTGTTCTATAGATTGATCTATAAATCGGTCTATAGATTGATCTATAAATCAGTCTATAGATTGATCTATAAATCAGTATATATATTGATCTATAGACTGTTCTATAGACTGATCTATAGACTGTTCTATATTCTGGTCTATAGACTAATCAGACTGGTCTACAGGCTGGTCTATAAACTAATCTATAGACTAATCTATAGACTCATGTTTAGACTGGTCTGTGGATTAATCTATTGACTGGTCTATAGATTGATCTATAGACTAGTCTATAGAATGATCTATAGATTAGTCTATAAAATGATCTATAGGATAGTGTATAGAATGATATAGAGACTAGTCTATAGACAAGATCTATATATTAATCTATAGACAGATATATAGCCTGTTCAATAGACAAGTCTAGAGACTGGTCTGTAGACAGGTATATAGACTGATCTACAGACTTGTTTATAGACCGTTCTATAGACAAATCTATAGACCATTCTACAGATTGGTCTATAGTCTATTCTATAAATTGATCTATAGACTGATTAAGACTGATCTATAGATTAATCTATAGCCTGATCTATAGCCTGTTCAATAGACAAGTCTAGAGACTGATCTGCATATAGGTATATAGACTGATCTACAGACTTGTTGATAGACCGTTCTAGAGACAAATATATAGACTATTGTACAGATTGGGCTATAGTCTCTTCTATAAATTGATCTATAGACTTGACTAGTCTATAGACTGGTCTCTAAACTAGTCTTTAGACTATTCTATAGACTGGTCTATAGAGTGATCTGAAGACTGGTATATAGACTGATCTATAGATTGATCTATAGACTAGTCTATAGACTGATCAATAGAATAGTCTGATCTATAGGTTGATCTATGGACTGGTCTATAGATTTGTTTATGGACTGGTCTATAGACTAATCTTAAGATTGATCTATAGACTAATCTATAAACTTGTCTATAGAATAGTCTGTTGACTGATCTGGTCTTTACTCATATCTATAGACTGATCTATAGACTATTTTCTTAACTGATGTATAGACTATTCTATAGACTATTCTATATAGACTGATCTATAGACTAGTCTATAGACTGATCTGTGGACTAGTCTATACAGTGATCACTAGTCTATACAGTATTCACTAGTCTATAGACTGATCTATAGATTAGTGTATGCACTGATATATAGACTGATCTATTTATTATAGATCTTCGGTTATAAATCTTATTATGACTTTGAACTCACCTCTTTCTGTTGATCTATACTCAAAATAGTGCTGGCATTAGTTTGAAAGGCAAAACACAATAGCAGTTGTTCATGAAGACCTGCAATGAAAATACATTAACATTGCAAAGCCATTTGACTTAAACTTTCTTCAAACTTACCCAAAGGCTGCTTTGTCTCATACGTGCCGCCCGCTGCCGCATTATTTGTAGTCTCTATACGATATTCCACATCTTGAGCATGACTCGAGCAAACCATTTCCATTCGTATTCATATCCTGTGGCATATTGTATTGTGTTTGAGAACTGGAAGATTTCTTGCCATTCACTTCTGTTTCCATTTCCACAACATTATTGTTCTCATTTAGATTGGACATTTGATATAATTCAAAGGTTTGCCATTATCACTGGTTATATGATGGATTACAGGCTGCTCTATTTTAGAACCGCTAATTACCCGCTATGGGAGCTTGATTTATTTGACTCTGTGTAAGTTTAGACTGAAACCAAGTGGCCGCTATTACCAGTAGTATCAATTTTAGCAAAAACTGGCAAATATTGAAAAACGTAATTCCCGCCAATAACTGTATATACCCTGCACTGTGCGTACTCTTAAAAGATTTCACTTGTGCCAACTGAGAGCTATTTAAAGCGATCAGCATTTGCGCATGAGGATCCATTTCAAGAATGTGTTGTACATCGAGGGCAGTACAGGATTTGGGTAAACACTCGCCTATTTGCAAATTAAATTGCAAAAGTTCAGGCAAAGCTAAATTGAAGGTCACTACCAGCGGTGTAGAACTCAAATTCGAAATGTTTACGTTTCTCGGGATCTAGCTGGCGATTGAGTTCATAGCAGTTTTGTTTTTGACCCAACCATTTTGTCGTTGCCAAAGAATAACTGACCTCTATAGCGACCCGGACGATCATAGGCTAAAGTGGGTGGATACAAATTGCTTATTTATTGTTCATAAAATTATTTGCTTTATTTATTGTTATAAATTTAAATTTGTTTAACAATTTTTTTATAAAATTTCTACATCATTGATTGATGTTTCCAAGAAAAACAAGAATTGGAGCCATTTCGATTGAATTTAGTGAAGCATTAAATGGTTTTTTTAACCCTGAATGTTAATTGGACCGTTAAATTCATTGTTGTTAAATTTATTATTTGTCTAGATTACTGTCCCCTTCTCTTGTCCTTTTCTCTACCATAAATTTGAAAAATTTATTTTCAAATTCATTGTCGTTTTATATTTTGTAAAGATTTTTATTCCACACAATTCAATTATTAATCAATTGGAAAACATGCATAATCATGTGTTATGACTATAGACAGATACAAAATGTTCTATTGAATTTTTCATCATAAATCAACTATTAGAGAAAAATAAAATAATAGACAATGATTTATGAAATTATTGCCAAAAAAGGAAGCCTTGTTTGGTAATGGCCAACGGAAGTATGAACATTTGAAATTTATTGATGTAGTCACATTTTATTCAATCAATCATGATAATGAGTCCAAGAAGTTTTGAAAAACAACATTTAATAACAATAATAAGAATTGACAATATTAAAGCGATTAAATAAATTGTATTTAACAAAATATACTCTAATCTATAAGACGGGCTAGAGTCTAGTCTATTGTCAGTAGTTTCTTGTCAAAACTATCGACTGATAGTCTAGTCTATAATATAGTCTATAGTCTAGTCTATAGTTTAGTCCATAGTCTAGTCTATTGACTAGTCTATAGTCTAGTCTATAGTCTAGTCTATTGTCTAGTCTATAGTCTAGTCTATAGTCTACTCTATAGTCTAGTCTATAGTCTAGTCTATAGTCTAGTCCATAGTCTACTCTATAGTCTAGTCTATAGTCTAGTCTATAGTCTAGTCCATAGTCTACTCTATAGTCTAGTCTATAGTCGAGTCTATAGTCTAGTCCATAGTCTAGTCCATAGTCTAGTCCATAGTCTAGTCCATAGTCTAGTCTATAGTCTAGTCCATAGACTAGTCTATAGTCTAGTCTATAGTCTAGTCCATAGTCTAGTCTATAGTGTAGTCTATAGTGTAGTCTATAGTCTAGTCTATAGTGTAGTCTATAGTGTAGTCTATAGTCTAGTCTATAGTCTAGTCTATAGTGTAGTCTATAGTCTAGTCCATAGTCTAGTCTATAGTCTAGTCTATAGTCTAGTCTATAGTCTAGTCTATAGTCTAGTCCATAGTCTAGTCTATAGTCTAGTCTATAGTCTAGTCTATAGTCTAGTCTATAGTATAGTCTTTAGTCTAGTCTAGTATAGTCTAGTCTATAGTCTAGTCTATAGTCTAGTCTATAGTCTAGTCTATAGTCTATAGTCTAGTCTATAGTCTAGTCTATAGTCTAGTCTATAGTCTAGTCTATAGTCTAGTCTATAGTCTAGTCTATAGTCTATAGTCTAGTCTATAGTCTAGTCTATAGTCTAGTCTATAGTCTAGTCTATAGTCTAGTCTATAGTCTAGTCTATAGTCTAGTCTATAGTCTAGTCTATAGTCTAGTCTATAGTCTAGTCTATAGTCTAGTCTATAGTCTAGTCTATAGTCTAGTCTATAGTCTAGTCTATAGTCTAGTCTATAGTCTATAGTCTAGTCTATAGTCTAGTCTATAGTCTAGTCTATAGTCTAGTCTATAGTGTAGTCTATAGTCTAGTCTATAGTCTAGTCTATAGTCTAGTCTATAGTCTAGTCTATAGTCTAGTCTATAGTCTAGTCTATAGTCTAGTCTAGTCTAGTCTATAGTCTATCTATAGTCTAGTCTATAGTCTAGTCTATAGTCTAGTCTATAGTCTAGTCTATAGTCTAGTCTATAGTCTAGTCTATAGTCTAGTCTATAGTCTAGTCTATAGTCTAGTCTATAGTCTAGTCTATAGTCTAGTCTATATCTAGTCTATAGTCTAGTCTATAGTCTAGTCTATAGTCTAGTCTATAGTCTAGTCTATAGTCTAGTCTATAGTCTAGTCTATAGTCTAGTCTATAGTCTAGTCTTAGTCTAGTCTATAGTCTATCTATAGTCTAGTCTATAGTCTAGTCTATAGTCTAGTCTATAGTCTAGTCTATAGTCTAGTCTATAGTCTAGTCTATAGTCTAGTCTATAGTCTAGTCTATAGTCTAGTCTATAGTCTAGTCTATAGTCTAGTCTATAGTCTAGTCTATAGTCTAGTCTATAGTCTAGTCTATAGTCTAGTCTATAGTCTAGTCTATAGTCTAGTCTATAGTCTAGTCTATAGTCTAGTCTATAGTCTAGTCTATAGTCTAGTCTATAGTCTAGTCTATAGTCTAGTCTATAGTCTAGTCTATAGTCTAGTCTATAGTCTAGTCTATAGTCTAGTCTATAGTCTAGTCTATAGTCTAGTCTATAGTCTAGTCTATAGTCTAGTCTATAGTCTAGTCTATAGTCTAGTCTATAGTCTAGTCTATAGTCTAGTCTATAGTTCCTATAGTCTAGTCTATAGTCTAGTCTATAGTCTAGTCTATAGTCTAGTCAATAGTCTAGTCTATAGTCTAGTCTATAGTCTAGTCTATAGTCTAGTCTATAGTCTAGTCTATAGTCTAGTCTATAGTCTAGTCTATAGTCTAGTCTATAGTCTAGTCTATAGTCTAGTCTATAGTCTAGTCTATAGTCCAGTCTATAGTCTAGTCTATAGTCTAGTCTATAGTCTAGTCTATAGTCTAGTCTATAGTCTAGTCTATAGTCTAGTCTATAGTCTAGTCTATAGTCTAGTCTATAGTCTAGTCTATAGTCTAGTCTATAGTCTAGTCTAGTCTAGTCTATAGTCTAGTCTATAGTCTAGTCTATAGTCTAGTCTATAGTCTAGTCTATAGTCCAGTCTATAGTCTAGTCTATAGTCTAGTCTATAGTCTAGTCTATAGTCTAGTCTAGTCTAGTCTATAGTCTAGTCTAGTCTATAGTCTAGTCTAGTCTAGTCTAGTCTAGTCTAGTCTAGTCTAGTCTAGTCTAGTCTAGTCTAGACTAGTCTAGTCTAGTCTAGTCTATAGTCTAGTCTAGTCTATAGTCTAGTCTAGTCTATAGTCTAGTCTAGTCTAGTCTATAGTCTAGTCTAGTCTATAGTCTAGTCTATAGTCTAGTCTATAGTCTAGTCTATTGTCTAGTCTATAGTCTAGTCTATAGTCTACTCTATAGTCTAGTCTATAGTCTAGTCTATAGTCTAGTCTATAGTCTAGTCTAGTCTATAGTCTAGTCTATAGTCTAGTCCATAGTCTACTCTATAGTCTAGTCTATAGTCTAGTCCATAGTCTAGTCCATAGTCTAGTCTATAGTCTAGTCTATAGTCTAGTCTATAGTCTAGTCCATAGTCTACTCTATAGTCTAGTCTATAGTCGAGTCTATAGTCTAGTCCATAGTCTAGTCTATAGTCTAGTCTATAGTCTAGTCCATAGTCTAGTCTATAGTGTAGTCTATAGTCTAGTCCATAGTCTAGTCTATAGTCTAGTCTATAGTCTAGTCTATAGTCTAGACTATGGACTAGACTATAGACTAGACTATAGACTAGACTATGGACTAGACTATAGACTAGACTATAGACTAGACTATAGACTAGACTATAGACTAGACTACAACTAGACTATAGACTAGACTATAGACTAGACTATAGTCTATAGTCTAGTCTAGTCTAGTCTAGTCTAGTCTAGTCTAGTCTAGTCTAGTCTAGTCTATAGTCTAGTCTAGTCTAGTCTAGTCTAGTCTAGTCTAGTCTAGTCTATTCTAGTCTATAGTCTAGTCTAGTCTAGTCTATAGTCTAGTCTAGTCTAGTCTAGTCTATAGTCTAGTCCATAGTCTAGTCTAGTCTAGTCTAGTCTAGTCTAGTCTAGTCTATAGTCTAGTCTATAGTCTAGTCTATAGTCTAGTCTATAGTCTAGTCTATAGTCTAGTCTATAGTCTAGTCTATAGTCTAGTCTATAGTCTAGTCTATAGTCAAGTCTATAGTCTAGTCTATAGTCTAGTCTATAGTCTAGTCTATAGTCTAGTCTATAGTCTAGTCTATAGTCTAGTCTATAGTTTAGTCTATAGTCTAGTCTATAGTTTAGTCTATAGTCTAGTCTATAGTCTAGTCTATAGTCTAGTCTATAGTCTAGTCTATAGTCTAGTCTATAGTCTAGTCTATAGTCTAGTCTATAGTCTAGTCTGTAGTCTAGTCTATAGTCTAGTCTATAGTCTAGTCTATAGTATAGTCTATAGTCTAGTCTATAGTCTATAGTCTAGTCT